ATCTTTAACACATGAAATGTGAGTCCAAGGCATAACACGTTTTCTATGAAGTGTTCCCATATCTGGAGACAAACGACCCTGAGCGATCGACTGATACCGGTGGGTCATTTGTGTGTTTGTTACGCCTCTCACTGAGGGTCTAGAGTTCAATGATCGGGCCTGGTCTCTTGTCATCTGCTTACAGCAGAAGTCCGGACGTTTCAGACGTGTTGCCGTACTGCACGGTACAAACCCTCGGTTGTTTTTGCTTATTCTCCATAAACTGTGGTGTGTTCGCTCCAAAGTATTCTCATTTGTGACAAATTTTGCCTAAGTACGAATCACTCAATACTGAATAAAATCCTTATTTATTTCTACGTACCTAACCCATCCCATCTTCCTTGATTCCATCGCCCTGATTATATTGAAGAAGAGTACCGAGATTGGAAAGACCTACTCTAGAGCCCATTTGGGTCCTGCGAAAAACCCCGGAGTGGGAAAGAATCCCTGGATTCACCTGTTTGGTTAAGATGGAATGTGGAATTTTATACACGACCTACGTGCTTCAAATAACAGACGATAGAAAAAGTCCTGACAATAATTTTCGATGTAAACTACCGTCATCAAAACCCTTTAGAATTCAATAAACCTAATGTTAAGTCTGGTATAAATTCTGCGTGGCAGATTCTAGCAGTCGAACTGCCTTTGAGAGTATCGGACATGCAGATCGAAAATCGAGTTTCAATTGCTGTAATTATTACAGTTCAAAATTTTGACTTCAACTTTGTTTTCTGTCCTTTATCGCACTTCTGAAACGGAAACCAAGTAAAATTCCACATGGCATCCGAACCCAGACGACAAATTTCCTGGGCTTGAACCCTAAAACACTTTCACTGGAAGCCTCGAACACCGACGCCTTTCTCTTTCTCGTGCTGAGAACGTCAACTATACTTTCCTAGCAACATGGAAGGTTCTTATTTCTCATCTCCTAATCAATCACACAATTTTATAAAAACTAATCGGGGGGGGGCAAGAACGTTGGAGCTGAAGAGAGTTGAAGCCAAGACTGCGGGATACACGGGCACAGATCTGTTCTAAGCCAAGCACTGAAAGTAAAAATATTGCACGGAAGGGATAGACAAGATCGGGAAAGGAATCGCAAATAAAACCACGTGAGCAGCCGAAAGCCGGAGACGACCACATAAAAAAAATATCTTCACTTCCATAATATAAACATTTTCTTATTCAAACTGTTATCTCTTACATTTACACAGTACAAAAAATTTACTCCGCCCACTGGGTTACAGAAACATCGATACAACTGCACTGTACAAAGACTGGACCACTCATGCATGGCCTCTAGTAACCATTTTGTGAACTAACTCCACAACAGCTGAAACAAAACACTAACGAACTGTACAACACTAACTGATGAGTGTTCCTCGTCCCCTCGGATGAAGCACAACAAATCACAAGTCCTCAATAAAAATCGAGAATCCGTAAGATTCGCGCGCGGGGCAGAAACACCGAGAACTGGAGGCGTATACGGAAACGAGCGAATGACTACGGAATAATATACAGGGGCGAACCGGATCGTAAAATACTGGTACGTCTTGACGCCCGTCAAACAGAGGCCCAGGCGCTCGCGGTTCGTAGGCGCCCCTCCGGGACGATCAGGGGAGGGGCCGCGGACATCGTAATTACACTAAATCACTCGCAAATCGTTGTATGCTCGACGCAAGAACTGAGATCAAGGAAATTGCGCAATTCCACCACCCAAATTCAGAACCAAGGTCGCTGTAATACTAGTACATACATAGGAACTACAGAATTCAGTTCCTCGTGGCTTTGGTTAAATAGAAAGCGTTCTCTAAATTTTCAACTGAATTCTACGCTTTCAACAAAAGAAAGGAGAAAAAAAAAAATTAAAACCACTCCAAGGTGGCGCCGTGTATCGGCCGACTTTCGCTCTTCGCATTGGCACTTTTAAACAGCACTTATATAAAGTTCCACCTAGAAATTTAATTCTCTGAGAAGTGACAAAGACGGACAGAAGTGTAAAGAACGCCGCCCGCGCGAGGCGGGGGGTAGAAAAATGGCGACGGCGCCGGCCGGAGCTCGCTCTTCAAAAAAATTACGAGCAGCTCAAACACTTGAATGACCTAAAATTACACCAAGATTTTTTTTTTATTATTACCTTTTAACACGGATAAAATCATCGAAGATCGTCGGCTCTTACGCGACACTTAAAAAATTAATTCGAGGCACGAGCTGCCCTCCTTACATGCATAAGACGATCACTACGGACAGAAGGGACTGCACATGGAAATGTAGGCATAGCGAGATCAAGACCCCGTTCCTCCCGCTCTTCAATTCATCACAAAATTTACAACCACTCTGCCGCAAGGGAATGAGAAATGTGCGACATTTAATTTGTATTCTGTGCAATAAAGAGGACGCGCGGATTACACGCTCGTCAGCCTTTAGCCAACATTTCATTAATTGTAGCCTCCAAACGGCACGCGTCTAGTAAAACGTCTTCTTCGGCGTACTTTCTCGTTTACATGACGTGACAAGCCGCCCTTCCAGACTCCCACATATTCAACAAATCTTCACTCCCCTGCACCGCGCCAATTTCAAGGACGCGTCTGAGGGCGAGCCTTGAAGACGCCGACGGTCTGCAAAAAACACGTGGCGCCACAGGAATCAACCAGGAACTACATATTACGCTCTGTGCCGGCAACCGCCGGACGAGATGCCGAGGTAAACCGGGATTTAAGCCGTTACACGATGATAAACCCAAATATTCCTCCGTGGCAGAGGAGCCATCGGACGGGTACAGCAGCTTCTGCTCGCCTCACCCTCATCTTGCACGTCTTCATTTGACGGCCTGCGTTGCTCACGTAGCAGGTTCCATCTTTATTTCTGAATTGCTCTGACCGCTGCTGTTGGCATCTTCATCCTCGTCGTCGCTCCCATTAGGAGGAGCCGCCTCTCCGCCGACCGGGCTAGAGACGCTCGCTACGTTATCTGCCGCCGACGACCCCGAACCCAAATCCGGCAGAAATTCGTCGCTGCCTCCAGCCATCTTGGTAAGGACCGACAACGAATCTTTCACCGCATGGTAGATGATGTTTTTGATCTGCAACTTATCCTCGTGGTTGGAATGTGTGTCCGAGAGCTCTCGGAATTCTTGCGTCAGGTGGAAGCAGTGCGAGACGTTCTCCGGCGAGACGAAGTCCTCGGCCACCTTTATGCAGTTGTGCAAATTGCGCACCTGCAAGCAAACGCACGCATTTGCTAAATCCAAAAACCAAGTCTCAAAACTACAATAACGGAGGAAAGTCCTCATGTACGACGGCATGCCAAAAAGTAACGTCGCTATTTCCCTGTAACAAACGAACAACGCACCTGATGAGGCGCCCCTGCAGGTATGAAGACCGAGTCCCCCAAACACTGGACGATGGCGTAGCCCTCCACGCCATATTCCTTGTACAACCTCTCTCGAAGCGGGCCGTCGAGATACCAGCTCTGATCGTGAATCGGGTCGTGATGGGGTTCCAACCGAGCGCCTCTCTCGATAGCCACCTTGTTCAGCAGATCGCGTATCTTGTCGGCATCCCGGGCGTTATAGATGTGCCAGAGCGCGCCGGGCAGCTCTCCTTTCTCCCGGACGCGCCGCCTCGTCAAGATGTCGCACCCCGCCTCGTCTATTGCCCGAAATGCTTCTGAAAATTACATCCGATTCTATAGAGAGTGCACGCCCCACATTCAGAATGCCACGAGCGTCAAAATTTAATATCGATTAAAAATACAAAATGCCACTCTCACAACCAACGCTTTCTTACGTACTACGAAATCCATTGTCCCACATTAATAAACTTACGGAAGAACAAACATTACCAAAAAGAAAAATCAAATGTAGCCGCTGGAACCAGGATTCTTATAATGGTCATTATCAGACACATCACGACGAGTGGCATATTTATAAATCGGTGCTCAAAATTATACTCACTTTTTCAGAAAGTCAAGAACACTTGCACTCATAAACGTGAATTAAAAATCTGCTTGCTCTTAAAATTAAATTTCATGGCGTCACACATTTCCAAATATTGTACTTAAGCTCAAAGCGGGAGAGAATATTAAAATTTCCGAAACAGCTCACCTTTGATATGTTCCTCGTTATCTCCGTCTTTTGGGATCCCCACGTACACCATCACATTGACCGCGTCTGAAATATCAAGGTGCAAATTTGTCGTGCCCTTCGTGGGGTAAAGGGCCGATCCGTAGGCGTTGTACATCTTGGGCCCGAGATCCGGACGCACGAAACAGTCCGGGAGGCGACTCGCGAGATTCAGACGTCCCGTCCGATGAGTGTATTCCGCCAGAGGCAACACCCGCATCAAGTCACTGAATCGAGATGGCAGCATCTCTGCAAAATCCTCACCTGGAAATTTAACGTAACATATATATTTGTAAAGTTTCCGGCACCCTCTCTCCGGCTGGACACCCCCCCTCCCCAATTACAGGCTGCTGTTTTACCAGTTACACGATGTGAAAAAATTGTAACGCATTTTCACGGTATAATACGGAATTCCATCTGCTTCTTTTAATGGATCTGTGCGGGCACTAAATACGACGAAAGAAAAATCTAGATCTAATATTTAGGAATATACGGCATAAAACATGTCACATATAAAAAGTTTTGTAAAAAAGAAAAAAGAAAAGTATTATTACAAATGCTCAGGACCAATAAATTCATAATCCACGGCCGTTTACATAGTATTTTAGTTGCAACTTTTATACGAGAGGCGAGCGACGCATTCAGGTCCAGATGGAAATTATTTTTGTACCCTACCTGAAACAGTCTGTATTCATAAAACCATTC